CACCTTTACCCACTCTGCCAAACCCCCTCTGGCTTCTTTTACCAGCCAGGAAGGGCAGAGGTCTAGGATGCATGTGGTAGGTCTCGCCTCTCCCAGAACCCTGATGACCTCATCAAGTTGAACAGATTGAAACGAATCCAATAAAATTGGACAAGCAGATGCTTGAGTTACATCCTCAGAGACTGCAGTTAATGTGGTGTCAAAGCCCGCACGGATCAAAGTGACTTTGTCCGCAAAGAACTGAGCAAATGCTTCACAGCGCACTGCTGAGTCGTCAGGGGACCCACTCGAGGTGGGATTCAACAACCCTCTGACTACTCGGAACACTCTGCCGGACGGTTCCTTGCGGACGCAATATTGGCCGAGTAGCCTTGGTAAAAAGTCTGCTGTAAGTACCAGAGGCACTGTGGGCTACTGCTCTGAAAGACATTCAAGCGACAGAGCTGCTCATGGTGCAGGTGACCTGGGGAAGGCCAGTGATGAGGGAAATGGCAGGCCACAAGTTGTGGCATTTATTTCAGTAAGAGAAGCCTTGGACTGACTTTAGGGTGCTGGCTCAGCAAGTGGGCTGGAATGATGAGCCTTTGCGGGGACAGTTTATTGAGGGTCTGAACATGGAGATGCATGCTCAAAATTGTATAGATAGGTTGGATGTATTCCACCCTGTGGACTGAAGAATGGGTAACTAGTTTTGTGAATACTTTAGAGGTACACATGTTTATAATCACACTTTTCAAAGGTGCAGGCTTTTGTCATATCAATGTGCAGCTCTCTATTCATGTGAAGATTCTGGAGCAAAATTAAATCCAGCCACAGACAGAGTAGAAGTTGTGGATTATGTGAAGTATATTAAAATAACTGACAGAGCAGATTCATCAAATACTGCTAGTCCTAGCAGAGGACAACCCACTGCTTTGAAAAGTTTTGAAAAATCTTCATTCCTGTTTTGTTGCATATTTTAGGCTGCAATCCTATACATACTTACCTGGAAGTAAACCCCATAGAATTCACTTGAGAAGCCATATACAGGATTATGCTGTTAATCCTTAGTTGAATGGAGGCATCTCTTAATACTATGAACAGGTATATGGATTTCCACATTTCTGAGGTTTAGGTACTGCAAGTGAGATGTGTGCTAAATACATATTAAAAAGACATCACTGTAGGCACGGTTAACGAATCAATATGACAGTTATCTCATGTCTTGGAGAAAAGAAATAATCATCACCAATTCAGAAGCTAAGCACATACCATTCCTTTTAATCCCCTTGGACAAGCTTGAATTTTTGAAACACCTGATAGCAAAGCAAAATGTTCTTTGAATATCTTCATCAAGATTTTTTTTAATGTTGTTGTTCATGGCTGTTGAAAAATCATTCTAATTATACATTCAACTGACAGCTGGTTTTCAATGCTTGGAGCAGCATTCTTAGTCCTTTCTCCCTTTTTCTTACAAAAAAATTAATCAGAATTATCAGCCTTTTTATTATTCTTGCAAAGCTATTTCATTGCCCTTATTGCCTAACCTATAAATTAAACTTTACAAAAGTTTTGTGCCTGTATGGAAGTGTGTGAGAAGAACAACTAAGAACTTCATGTTGGTAAAATGGGACACAAAGCTATGCATCAAATATCAGACTAATGAACTCAGTGAAAGTAGATTTCACAATTAATTAATCTGTCTTTTCCACAGGGAACACTAAAAAGCATAACAGTCTTGGAGGAAAAAATATGAGTAAGGACAAAAAGATGTGGAAAACCACACTTGTTGGATAGACAGGTGGATTCCAGGTTTCAGTTTCAACTTTCAGTACTGTAACTAGGACAAGATTGCAGGGTACCATCAACTAATATTTACTGATGACATTAGAAATAATGGTTTGTTACATGAATGTTCATTGTCTGTTTCATAGAATCATAGAATCAAAGAGTTGGAAGAGACCTCATGGGCCATCCAGTCCAACCCCCTGCCAAGAAGCAGCAATATTGCATTCAAATCACCCCTGACAGATGGCCATCCAGCCTCTGTTTAAAAGCTTCCAAAGATGGAGCCTCCACCACACTCCTGGGCAGAGAGTTCCACTGCTGAACGGCTCTCACAGTCAGGAAGTTCTTCCTCATGTTCAGATGGAATCTCCTTTCTTGTAGTTTCATTTGTAATAAATGAAAAGATGCATGTATTCTATGGGAAGCCACAATTATATGTCTGTCATCAAGATAGTTTGGTAATCTTTGTTGCTCAGGATTCAAAAAGAATCCTTAATCCATAATTTAGTTTCCATGAGAAAGTGTTATTTTTTTCTCATATCTGCAGTCTAGTTCTAGTATGCTTTCATGGAGACTTAATAGCCCTGTTTTAATTTGCTTATGTGAGAACAGCTTCGACTTCATGGGGCCCTGTCACACTACACAATTATAGCATCATGATCATATTTTAGATGGTGTGGCTGGATTTAATTGAATGTTAGGATTTGCAGTTCAGTCATCCCTACACTCTCATGGAGATTATGGCAGTAACTCCCATGCAAAAGGTAAAAAATTCTCTGGGAGGAATGGAGTGGTACCACTGTGGTCCCCAGGAGGTGGAGACTACTTACCATAAGCCCAGAGGGAAGAGGAGGAGCCACCCCTTTGGACCATTTCACTGGCACCTTTTCTTTTTCCTGCATGCCATGTGTATCTGTTTTACCCAGGCATAGGAAGGGAGATATTGGGTGGAACAGAAACCAAGCAGAGGAACCAAGTGCATATGTGCCTGCAATGTTACTTACCCTATAGATCCAGTTTATCCTCTTTCTGTGTGCTGTGTATTTCTTTTTCCCTCAAAAGATCCCTTCCTTTGAACAGGTGAAAAAGATGTTCATGGCACACAGGAAGAGGCAGATGAGCCAGATGTGCAGGGTAAGTGAAGTGGCACAGGGAGCTGGCTCCTCTTCGTCCTGCATGCTATGAATGTCTGTTTGGCCTGGGCAAAGGAAGGGAGTACTCACTGAAACAAAAACACATGGTACACTCACCTCTTGAACTGCTCACTCGCTCACCTCTTGAGGACAGGAACATTCACAGGGCAGCCTCAACTTCTGGAAGTGAGGGTGTTGGTACAAAATCAGGAATAATCAAAACCATGGGTGTGAAACTCATGAAAGTGAGCAGATTACTCTACTGGTGTACTTAGAATTATTAGCCAGAGAGCTACCCTGGTGCCTCACAAAATGACAGATCCCAAGATTCTATAGGATGCAGAAATGGGACTTAGAGCAAAATCATAGTGCTATAATTTTATAGTGTGAAAGTGTCCCTGGTAACCACCACAAGTACATAATAGGTTGCAGTTCCACACAATGATTTGAGTAGGTGGTGATGGTTTGGACTCTTTGACTTGGAAATACTTTTCAATTACCTCTTCCAGACTGATAGCACAGAGTGCTGCTATTACTCCAGTTTCATTTAGTGAAAATCACTTGGTAGAAAATTATTGGACTTCTTAAATGAGACCATTGAAGTGTGGGTGATATTTTTCCCTCAGATGAAAAACAAAGGGTACAAATTTCATGAAGCAATCTGAACAAGTGAAAACACCACAATAACTTCTACCAGGAGTTAAGAAACTTACAATGGTGAATATCTGACCTACATTCATCAAGACAATTCTGAAAGGAAATATTTGCATATAATGAGATGTTCACTGGCATTTATTTCCAGATGTATACAACCTGGAAACACACCAACTGAGGAATTATGGGCACATCTACACTGACACTTAGGTTGGGATGATCCAGGGTGTTAGATGATGAATCAGTCCTGAGATGTGTCCCCACAAGAACTCCCCCAGCCATCACAGAGGCAGAAGAGATCCCCACCACCTAACACTGCCAAACATCTATGATTTTCTACATGGTGAAAAAAAAACCCTCTTGTAAACGCCCAGAGTGGAATTATAGTTGGAGAATTTTTTAAAAACCCTTGCTGAGCTCTTATTTTGCTCATTGACATTCCCTAGACCTTTGGATGTGTATGGGTTCTAAAAGCTATTCAAGGTTTTCAATTCAGCAAATACATTTTAACATCAAGTACTATCACCTTAGGAATGTCCCATAACCAAAATGGGGATTCTAAACAGGCACTTTAAAAACAAAAGGAATAATAGGTGGTGCAACATGCTTTTGAGCCTGCATCAGGAAAAGGTTGGAATATAAGACAGATAAAGAGAAAAAATCTGCTTCTATAGAGCTATATGTACATGTACCTCCTTTAACCTGGGAAAACATTTTGTGCTCTGGGAGTTTTTGCTAAGAGCTTCAGGCAGCATATTTCATGCTTCTAAATGGTTTAGATGACATCATCATAAGTTGTTATTTCCAGTTTCCTAAAGTCCATAATGTAAAGAGGCTTATGAGATTACAGCTCTAAGCGTATAACAAGAATGGGTTAAATCTCAGTTTTTCATTCTCATTACCATCATTGCCACAAGATGGGATTAATGCTGTGCCATTTTTCTGCTTTCCTTAAGCCCATCATTATGAGGATGAAGATGACAGTGTAGTATGTTACTGATCCATTGGAGCTATATTGTTGTACATTGTCCCCCCCTTGTTCTTGCTGCGGAGAGAGATGAAGGACTACTGTCACCCAAAATCTGTACTATTTAAAGAGCTTGTACTAACACAGACTTGGACAAGACAAAAACCAACTGCAGTTTTTCCAACTTCCTGTCAAGTTCCAGTAGCATCTCTATGAGTTTATCTTCTTTGTAGGCAGAAGAACTTGAGATTGATGGTGTATTTGTACCAATTACTTGTTTAGAATTGTAGAAAAAAACAGCAGAGTGAGTAGGGATGAATGAATGTGACAATTTTGCTTTTTCCGTGCTTTTGAGACCATACAATCAACCTTCCTTATTCACAGTTTCTGAACCCATAGATTCCACCATCCACAGCTTGACTTTTTTTAATCCAAAAAGCAAAGCTTGTTTTGTTTTGCCATTTTATATAAGAGCTGCTTCAGTAGTATATACTAAAAATACTTAAATTGGAATGACACAGAGAATATTAACATGGGCCCTGCTCAAGAATGGAATGCAATTTTGTGAAGCATTCCATATTTTGCATGAACATGAACCTTTATATAAGAGACATCATTTTATTATGCCATTATATTTAATGGGTCTTGAGCAACCATGGATGTGTTTCCTGGAACCTATTTCAGTGGATACTGAGGGCATTGTATTTCTTTGCAACATGTTTACTGAGAGATCTGTTTCTGTCCTTACCAAAAAATAATTCCAGATGTTGATATATTCTTAGCATCTTCCTTAAAATGAATCAAATAAAATTTTGTCTGTAGTACTTTGAGAGATGCACACACCATACTTTTCTGCCTTATATCTGTTAAAAAGAAGAGCCTCTAAAAAGCTGACAACTCTAATTTAGCATTAACATGGTTGAGTATACAGGGATTCAAACCTAGGCTTTCAAGAATTAAGCAACTATTCATTTTCACTGTTTGAAGCAATTTGGGGATCTTGACACAGTTCTATGTGTTAAAAAATAAACCTAATTCATCACTCTTCTCTAATACTGAAAGCAGAGTCACTCACATAATAGATAGTTGTCTACCAATTTCAGGAACATAAAACATCTGGTGTAGCCCTCTTCAGGTAGCACACCAATTTTGTCAACTCTGGCAAATTTCCATCCTTTCTTTTTTAATCTCTTTACTAAACACACAGTTTATTCTTTACACACACACAAAAGATACACATAGAGATATAGACCTCAAAATCTGCTCCTTGAAGGTAGATCACTGAACCATTATCTCTCTGTATTGTCGAAGGCTTTCATGGCCTGAATCACTGGGTTGTTGTAGGTTTTTTCAGGCTATATAGCCCAAAAAAACCGACAACAACCCGTTAGCTTTCTTTGAGGAATTTTCATCTGTTCAACCTTATTAGCTAGTTATGAGCCTGTCCTGCCCTCCTGGCAATAATATTAATAAAATATTGACAGGCAGCATCCATAATTATTATAACCTTGGGATTTTTTAAACAGAAAGATTTAATGCATAACTACTCAGGGAACTTGCCAAGGTTTCCAGGGCTTTGCAATAATGTGTCACTTTCTTCTCATCCCTGAAAACATTTTTCATCATTTCCACTTCTTTCTTTTTGATTCTGTTACTTTTTTGTCATTGGTGTCCCTAGAAATGATAAGGGAATTAGAGTATTGCCCCCTCAAATAAGAATTATTTTTTTCCAATGACATTCTCGTTCGCTTCTCAAATTTCTTGCATTGCACTAACTTAAAACTTCAGTTGAAAAAGTCAAAGTTTACTTCAGATATTCACAGATAAGGGACAGGCAAAGTTACCAAAGAAATGCAATCACAACAAATATGAGAGTTCTATTTGGGAATGATTTTCAATATGTCACTCTCTGTAATGCTCAAAATTTAGGGAATGAAGAACAATTTTATTTGGGAGGGTGGAATTTTTATTTGGGGGTAATATTCTCACTATCCTTCTCATTGCTACACCCTTAGATGTCCCACAGTCTGCCTTACCATTTTGGGGCCATGTAATCATGATGGCATATTACAAAAGCACTGAATTCGTATATCCATGTGTGCGCCTATATGCATGTATGTTCAGTGAAAATATTTTATAGGAGACACTACACCTATCTTTCTACAATATGTTGTGAGTAAGAAATCTTGGAAAATGTGAGATATTAGTAGATCTCTCAAGCAGACAGAAGTAGAACAACAACCAGTCCCATCCTACTGTTACTAAGAGTTATTTTCAGAGAACAAATACAAGTATCTTTTTTGTTAAACATATAAATGTTATTTACTTACAAATTTAGAAATGAAGAATTTTGAATATTTTTTCCTAAACCATACTGATTTTCAGATCAGTAACATGGTGTAGTGGTTTAAATGTTGCACTATGACTCTGGAGGGCAGGGTTTGAATCTCTCCTTGGCCATGAAAAATCACTGGGTGACCCCTGGCATGTCACACTTTCAGTCTCAGAAAGATGCAAAGGCAACCCCCCCCCCCACCAGACAAATCTTGTCAAGAAAACCCTATGAAAGGTCACTTAAGAATCATCATAAGTTGGAAATGACCACATCAGCACAACCAACAGTCATCCCTTTGCCAAAGGACTCCTCATACTGGAATTAGCTTTCATAAGAATCAACAGAAAACTGTGCTAGCTAATGTCCAGAGGACAGGAGCAGAATTCAAAACAATCTTGACAGATTAGAGAGATGGGCCAAAAGTAACAAAATGAAGTTCAACAGTGACAAATGCAAGATACTCCACTTTGGCAGAAAAAATGAAATGCAAAGATACAGAATGGGTGATGCCTGGCTCGAGAGCAGTACGTGTGAAAAAGATCTTGGAGTCCTCGTGGACAACAAGTTAAACATGAGCCAACAATGTGATGTGGCGGCAAAAAAAGCCAATGGGATTTTGGCCTGCATCAATAGGAGCATAGTGTCTAGATCTAAGGAAGTAATGCTACCCCTCTATTCTGCTTTGGTTAGACCACATCTGGAATATTGTGTCCAATTCTGGCCACCACAATTCAAGAGAGATATTGACAAGCTGGAATGTGTCCAGAGGAGGGCGACTAAAATGATCAAGGGTCTGGAGAACAAGCCCTATGAGGAGCGGCTTAGGGAACTGGGCATGTTTAGCCTGAAGAAGAAGGCTGAGAGGAGATATGATAGCCATGTAAATATGTGAGAGAAGCCACAGGGAGGAGGGAGCAAGCTTGTTTTCTGCTTTGGAGACTAGGACGCGGAAACAATGGCTTCAAACTACAAGAGAGGAGATTCCATCTGAACATGAGGAAGAACTTCCTGTCTGTGAGAGCCGTTCAGCAGTGGAACTCTCCCGGAGTGTGGTGGAGGCTCCTTCTTTGGAAGCTTTTAAACAGAGGCTGGATGGCCATCTGTCAGGGGTGATTTGAATGCAATATTCCTGCTTCTTGGCAGGGGGTTGGACTGGATGGCCCATGAGGTCTCTTCCAACTTTAGGATTCTATGATTCTATGATTCTATGTTGCAAAATATAGTCTGGCACAATTGTTTTTAACCCAGCTCTTGGCATTAACAATGTTCAGTGCCACCAGATACTTGGAGCATAAGGCTATTAAACTTTTTAACTGATAAATTATTTTCCATATGCTGATGGTGTGTTCCCATATGCATATTCTTGCCAAGAACATATCTAATTGTGAAGAACATGTTTAATGATACCTATACCAGAACAATGCCAAAGAAATGTGGTTACCAAGATGGGAAGAGAGTTTGAATGATGGATAGAAATGTTTAAAAGATTGACTAGCTCCTTGTGGAATCAGTGAGAAGGGAAGTGGCAGCATTACAGGAATGAATGGGAAATGAAGTCACAGAGGATGGCAAAGGAGCTGAAGCATTAAATGAATGCTTTACAGAAAATGAACACTCAAAATGTGCCATCTGAAGCTGCCTCTTGTATCCAGCCTCACGGATGGCTTCCAGGCTAGTGAGGCAAAGATATTGAATAAGTTAAGGAAAGTTGAAATGAACAAATCATTCACACTGTGTGAAAGTAGTCTAGCAGCCTTAAAGGAACCCATCACAGAAAGTGAAACAGGTAGACATTTCCCCATTTTTAAGTCTCTAATATCATATTTATTAGGGATGTGCAAAATTTCATTTTTAATTAGAAAGTCATATCTAATTTGGAAGTTTTGTATATACAAACAGATATTAAGAAATGGGGGGGGGGGGGGGACCCGTGCAAAAACTTAAGAACCAAAACTCACCCAATACATTTTTGTTTGAATTCTGTAGTGCTTGGAAGCCTATTAAGATCAGTTTCATTTTCAGTGCAAGCGAGGGAAGTCAAAATGGCCTCTTACTATGAGGGCAGGAAAGCAGGAGGGTGGGACAAGCTGAGTGAGCTGGGAAAGAGACTGAGCACATAGCACAGAATTCTCAGAAATGTAATTTGGGAAGACAAGAAGCCCTATGGCTCTACCCCCTGCTGAAACAACTGTGCTGGCTGCCAGTCTGTTACTGGGCACAATTCAATGTGCTGGTTGTGACCTTTAAAGCCCTAGATGGTTCAGGTCCAAGCTATTTCACTGACCACATCCTCTTGTATGAACCTGCCCTGAGATCTTCAGGAGATCTTCAGGAGACGCCCTTCTCTTGGTCCCACCTCCATCTCAACCTCAGTTGGTGGAAATGAGAGAGTGGCCCTTCCTCTCACAGTGCTGCCCCATGACTCTGGAACTCCTTGTCCAGGGAAGCCAGAATGGCCTTCTCCCTGTTATCCTTCAGACAGCAGGTTAAAACCTTTTTATTCAGGAAAGCTTTTAAAGAAGAAGGTTTTTAAGATCATCAGGGCTGCTATGATATTATTATTATTATTATTATTATTATTATTATTATTATTATTATTATTTGAAACACAACAAGATGAGTCCACAGCAGACACTCTGCTGGCCGTTGAAATGGATCACACGTCAAACACTTCCCAAGTGTCTAGGACTGTGTGATGTATTGGTGAATAATGCGTGCAGATCCTAGTAAGGTGGCCTTCTGCAGGTGGCAGATGGTAATTTTGTCAGCGCCGATTGTGTTTAAGTGCAGGCCAAGGTCTTTAGGCACTGCACCCAGTGTGCCAATCACCACTGGGACCACCTTTACTGGCTTGTGCTAGAGTCTTTGCAGTTTGATCTTTAAATCCTCATACTGTGTCAGCTTTTCCAGTTGTTTCTCTTCAATCCTGCTATCACCTGGGATTGCAACATCAACAATCCATACTTTGTTTTTCAACACGATTGTGAAGTCAGGAGTATTGTGCTCCAAAACTCTGTCTGTTTGAATTCGGAAGTCCCAGAGTAGCTTGATGTGTTCATTCTCTGTAATTTTTTCCAGCTTGTGATCCCAGTTCTTTGTTGCAGGCAGATCATAGAATCATAGAATCATAGAATCAAAGAGTTGGAAGAGACCTCATGGGCCATCCAGTCCAACCCCCCGCCAAGAAGCAGGAACATTGCATTCAAATCACCCCTGACAGATGGCCATCCAGCCTCTGCTTAAAAGCTT